TGCGCTGCCGCCATAGTATGAGTCTTGTATTTGACTCTGTCTGGCGATGGAGGGAAGAATACCAAGCCCAAGGAAGAGGTTCAATTGATGGTAATTATAAAGCTCTATCCCCTTCCCACCCAGTGCTCGAGCCATTGCATCCACGTCTCTCTTCGGTGTGACTGTGATGACTGACCTACGTGCCACCCGAAATAGCCATGAAACAACCTACTAATCCAGACTCAGCGAACGAGTCCTCAGCGTCATCGACCCATTTGGACAGCACTCTTATGCCGGCAACCCAAGGACTCCAAGCGAACAGCTTGCTCGCTGCCAATGGAGCTCTCACTCCTGGCAACTCTGGCGGGATCGGAAGTCAACCACCCAGCAACAGCATGCTGAGCGGCATGAGCTACGGCGAGACCAACTACGATTTCTTTGACCCACAGCATTGGATGCTGGACGGACTCTTGGACTTCAATTATAACTTTGTGCAACCTCTTGAGGGCGCATAGAAGTAGCCATAGATATGATATGGGAGAGCCACTACATTATAACATTCCCACAGGAGTACGAACGAAGGCAGAACGCATGCGTGGGGGCAAGTTTCAAGATCTGCGAACAAGCGGCGGACAGCTCGATCACAGCTTGCCAGAAAGGAGTGAGTGAATGCCCCTTCGGCAGACATTGTATTGGGCCCCTCCGTTGGGGTCCGGGGATGAGTGACTTGGTTTGCAGCTCTCAGCGATCCTTCCATGCTCCGAGGTGCGCGACATCACTGCTTTGCGACTGCATTGCGACTGCATTGCGACTGCATTGCAACCGGATATATTTGGACCAGCGAAAGACGGAAATCTTTCCATTACGTTTATACACCTGCTTTTGCCATTGGTATCCCAGAATGGAAGCTCTCGACCAACCAGCGATTCTCGTTGGTACACTACACTTATTGCCTCATGTTTTTACATTTCGGGTTTCCTAGCACAGTCTGTTGATAGTCTGTTGATGACGGTATAATCACGCGTATATTCGACCATGAGCTCCACGACATGATCAGGCGACATCGGGTTGCGGCTTCGGTTTCGGCGGTCGTCTTGTACGTTTTCATTTCTTTCCTCGGAGGCTCTAGTGTCTGGTTTCTTTTCTCCTTTCTGGGATCATCAAAGCATTGGCAATAGCGGGTGAAGGTGTAGGTTTCTTTCTCATGGGCACACACTTTGCGCAAAAGAACGCCGTGATTAGCTGTAGCTTTGTTTGAGTTTTGAAATAAACAAGATTAATTCAGGCATGCTTCGCTACACTATACAGCTCCTGATGTCTTTGTCTGGAAAGGAATGAAACACACAACATCTACTCATGTAACGACTGTCCTCTATACACCTCGAGTGTTACTACAAAGGTTTTCTACCGCAACTATGGTCAACTTGGAAAATCATAATGCCACCTCCAGAATCACAACAGATGACTGAGCCAGTTTTGTGATGTGCCTCTAGGGATGATTCAGTATCCCGATGATGTCCCCTTTGGTTCTACTTCGGACTCTGAGCGAACGTGACCTCACTGACACCGAGGCTGTATACATTCCGTTAGGAAGACATTGGTCATACCCTCCCCAATTGGACCTTCACGTGGGAATCAATCGTGCCGTCGAGGCTCACAGGCATCAGCGGGCGTCAGCAGGCGAACAACTCAACGACAATGACCCCTATTCAAATCCCCCTATCAGAAACGCAATTTGGGGGGGGGGGCGGTGTATGGTATCCCATAGCTCTGCTCCACGATCACGAAGTGGACTAACGATGATCACGATGATGATGGCGATGGGCATGTTCGTGTCAATGATAGGTCCTCGGGCCTGGGAGTAATCAATTTCCAATCATCACACGAGGTGATGAGAGTCACATTGGAGCGGATATCGAGAGAAAAGTCCGAGGGCTTTCTTCCCTCTAGACCCCCTCCTCGTAAAGGACTCCATTGACAAAGGGAGATTGAAATCTTTTCAGACAGTAACTCGGAGGTAGCTCCTATTCGCTGGAGAGCCGCGGGTCGCATATGTGACGGCCCAACAGGCCTGATGATGACGATGTATGATCAATGGTATAGGCACACTGGCCAGGTTTCCCTTTACGTTACGTTTCGTTCGACGGCCGCAAGTGGCCGTCACGGCGCGGCGGTGGGGATGGGAAGGGACAAGCAAGTATCTGACAATTATGACATTTCTCCGCCCTGCTCTGCTGGAAGGAGGTAATGTATCATTGAGGAGTCAAGGAGTCCAGGAGAGGGTTCTGGGCTTTGTATCTTGTATCGGTACAAGCTTGACAAGTATCTTTCTTTCTCGAGGGCGTTGGGAACATCGCCATCGGCGCTTGTTTCATCGTTGAGAGAGGAATCGTAGGGCTGGCTAGAGGGGCGGCGAGACGATGGCATCATGGGGTGAAGGGGAAGGGGAAGGGGGGGGGGGTATGGTTCGCTTGGACGAGAACGAAGGCGTTCGCCCGGTATCTCCATCATGGTAGTGACTAGAGATATGCCTTCTGTTCACTCCCCGTCGAATAAGAAGGCAAGAATGGACAGGTTTCCCCGGTCTAGACGCACACCTTTCGTCTACTTTGTCAACTTTCCACTCCCAAAATAAAGGGGAGCCAAGAGGTGACGAGAGAATCGAACCAGGGCGTGGGGGATGTTGGTCTAGTTGGTCTTACTGCTCTGATTCGTCGTGTTCTCATCTTCATTCGCTCGGCCTTGACCCTGTGATCGAGGCCGTTTCGGTCTGGCGAAGGGATCGATATCAGGCAGAATATCAGGCAAAAGAGTCATCATGGAAAAGGGGACGAATCATTGCACGTTACCCGAGACTGATGGGATCCTAGCCTGGCGAACAAAGAACCAGTCATGATGGACTTTACCGACAGCCTGCGGTAAACGTTCCCTATACCTCTATCTCTCTCTCTTCCTCTCGTGGTTCTGCGCCGCTCGTGGCAGCGGGAGTGGCGGCTGGGATTAACTTTAGATTGAGGCGGGCTGCGTCTTGTCTGGGTACTATTCTCGATCGTGTGGAGGAAGAAGGCGAGGAAGGGGGCTGTCGAGTGGATGTGGAAACCATGGCTTCAAGTGTGTGTAACGTACTTGATGGGACGTCTGCGCTTGTTTGATGCTTGTGGATACGAAAAGAGAAGAAGACGACAGCGTCCTGGTGCGCTTCCGTCGTCTCTCGTTGATCGGCGCACGAAGGGGCTGTTCTGTCTTCTGCTTTGGGCGTTGTCGGAAGTCGTTGGGGGCTATTTGGGTGTTGGTGTTGTTGGCTAATGGCGTTTCTTTCCCACGCAGAAGGGCTTCACAGCCTCATGCGTGGGGCACGACGCTCCGCCACTTGGGACGCTTTCTACCGCAAGATAGGAATAGGATAGAATACGAAATAGAAACAAGTTCGACGGGAAGTTGACATGACGGTTTGAATGCCTTGTTCCTGCAGACAAGCTGAAAGAGAGTGCCCGTTTGACTGCTGAAGCGGCGCAGCTGCAGCTCCGGGAATGCTGTAGATGCGGAAGAGGAGGATTGCAGAAAATAGCAGAGGATCCTGCACCCCGACATCAGCTCCAATACTGCGGCCGAAATATTGGGGTGCAGGAAGAGACCTCAAAGGCCTCAATACTTATGTACTGGGGGACTGTCGGCGATGACCACTTGGGCACCCTAATACGCCCTCACGATAGCTTCTGAACTCGACCACGAAAATTGTACACTTTTGGATTGCCGATGGAAATTTCTTCTTGGCAGCGAGTTCGTCTTCGCCGATACCCGGAGTCGCCGGGGTAGCAAGGAGGGGGCTTTGCAGGCACTTGGCCGCCTTTTCGGGCCTCTGTTGTGGCCTCGCGGATTGACGACCAGTCAAAACAACGTGATCAATGAGCTATAAGGTAGAAGGCCAAATAGAAAGAGAATGCCTCGCGAGGCGTTATCTTGTACCAAGAACAACATCATCCAATATCCGTCACCAAACTGTGCCGAAGTAGCCATCTTCGTTCAACGAGGGGTAGTATCCGTAGTGATGACCAGTTCAGTGCTGGGAGTGGGCCAGACTGGAAATTGACTCAACACCGCCCTACCCACAACTCGAGATCGGATGGGAGAGCTTCCCCGGTAATGTACACTCGAGCTTCTTGTCCAGATTATAGTGCTGATTATCCCCACAGAGGCGTAGCAAGAGAGCGCACACCAGCAGCGGCTTTTGAAACGCCCGGAGCAATCGTTACGGCCGTTGGCTGTAGCCTCGCAGTCAACGGCTCGGGTAGAGACATGATACGGGACAGAGATGAGCAGCATTGGGGGCTGAAATTAATTGCCGAAGGATTCGAGACGCTTTGCTTCCCCTCTTCGTATGCCCATCCTGCAGATGGGTGAGGTCGTGGTATTGGTGGTGGCGGCTGCGCCTTTTGCGAATCTTTCAGACCATTGTCTGTTTCGACATTCCCAAGCAACCACAAAGCTGGACCCTGGAAAGGGGGGCAGAAGGGATTTCTTTCATTCCACGGGGACCGTTTTGCCGCTGTTCCAGATGCGACATGGAGGAAAATGTTCTTACGGGCGCAACCGGCGGAGGGCCTAACGCCCGCCTTTGTCCACACTGGACCACTCGTGGCAGCTCTTCCACAGAACCACCACGGCTTCCAGTATGTCCACCCCCTCTCCTGAACGGCGAAGTCCCGGAGAATGGCAATCCATGACAACTGCAGAACCTCGTCACGCCGCGGACCGGTTGTGCCGTCCTTGATTCGCGGAAGCCGGGGGTGATGGTGACAGCAGGTTAAAGAGGACCACCATCACTGAAGATGGGTGGTTTGCCTCGTTTCTCCAATCATTGACGAGCAGGTAGACACCACGAATACAGGGCGCCGTCCCCCAGGAAGTATTTGTGTGCATCAAAACCTCGCGTGGGTGTAGCAGGGCTTGCCTATGGGAATTTCAGATCAGAGTCCGACGGGAGGGCGAGGCCGTCCGACAACCCAGCTGTCAGCTACCATCGCTGCGCCTTTTCCCAAAACGAGTTACCGTGATTGCTTTGATTGAGCAGTTCTTCAGTGAGAAGAAAGCTGCCCAAGGTTTAGGACCAAGTACGGACTTCCATGGTACACGCTTCTAGCCGCAAAGAGCCCATGCCCTTGAAGCCGAATGGATGCCCAAAAACCCAGCGTGGAGCGTGTCCTATTCCGCATGTGGCCGAGAGAGACCTTGAGAGAGTGGAAGAAGTCTCGTGGTGTATCTCCTTGTACCCTCGGGCTTCTCTCATGGTGCCCCAGGAATGGCCAGCAAGTCCTCGTCCAGGGGGGGAGGGGTTGGACTTCGTTGATTGCAATGGACGGTGGAGTCTCGGATTTGCACGGTGCAGCCACGGCAAGCGTCATCGAACCACTGCCCACTGGAAATCTCGGACGAAAAGCTCACATGGCGAGCGGCAAGATCGCTGTCAGTCTCAGCGTGCTTCGGTGCCTTGTGCGGACACATCTGGTCAGGGCTTTCGAATCCATAGCACGGCTTGGCATGAAGATGGAGGCTGTCACGTCCAGACAGTTTGTCACCCCGTCCCAGCAAAAGGATATCGTTTATTCTCGGCTGATTTGATACTGGTTTACCGCCCGAATGTGTTGACTTGCTTGAAGACGGACCGGGACAATTTGCAGTACCAAGCCCTAGCAGACGATGCTTTGCGGTGGATACCTGTTTCCTGGCATATCCAGTAGGACGCTTGCCGGAGACCAGCTGCCCTCGCGACCCGAGAGATCGGAAGCGCTCAAAATGCATGAGAATGCGCAATGCAACGCAAACCAAAATTCCAGGCGAAGATGAGGCAGTGTTGGCTTGATTTGGACCCAGGTCATCAATATGGACGCCCATAACCGCGTCTGGGACAGTGACAGACGCGACCAACGGCGTGATGAGGCAGTGACGGCCAATGGGGGCGACGAACTATGCGACCTGGGCGCTTAGAGCGTAAAATTCCAGGGAATGGGGGTACGGACAGTTCCTCATTAGGCTGTTTGCGGCCGGTAAAGTTTTCCTTTGGAAAAGTCGACGACCCGAAAAGCGACCATGAGCAGAGAGAGTCGACCTCGGGCTCGCGGGCATATCGCCTGCTTCTGATGCCGTACCTCGGTACTCATCTAGCGGTCGTCCCTAGAACCGGATGGGAGATATCATGGTAACGAAATGTCGAAGAGAGCGGGACTGAGAGGCTAAGGCGGCACAGCGGTCTCCTCCAACCTCAACGTGGCACAGGCTGGAGGCTTAGAAGGGCCAAGGGATCAGAATGCACCTCAGCCTTCTATTTCGGCATCTATCCATAGAACGGTGATCTGCAAGGTACCATCGGTCTGAAGAACGCGAGGAAGGGCCGGCACGCGAAGGCGGGGACGGCTTCAGTGTCTTCTCCCCTCAAAGCAGGACGTACAGGTTCAGCTCGACTTGGCTCATCAAGGATGCGTCATGGCTTCCGGTACAGTACCCGCATCTGGAACCATGGGATCGAGAAAGGGAGCGGCCAGGAGCAACAGAGTTGGGGCACGTTTCTGCAGCAAGGCGCAGGTGGTGTGGGAGAATGCGTGTGATGACAGGTAGCTTCGAGGCGGCGGCGTGGGAAGTCTAGAAGAGTGTGGGTGGGTGTGTGATATCGCGGTTAAGGAGTTGCGTTCTGTTGACCGTTTGCTGTTGGTGATGAAGTCTGGCCGCTTGTTGGTAGTGAAAATGGTTTATCTGGGAGTCACTAGCGACACCGTGAGTGGTTGAATGTGCTTAAGCTTCAATTCGAAAGAACAGACGCGCGCTAAGTCCGAAGAATGGGATCGGCTTCTGACCAGTGAGGTGTGCTCGTGGAAGTGGAGAAGGCACAGTAGGGGTAGGGTGAACAAAAAGGAAGTTGACGGTAGGTACGGAGTACGTACATGCTCAAAGTAAGAAGGGGGGGGGGGGTGTAAGAGGAAGTGTAATTGTGGCCTCAGGCTCTGGATGGATCCCGGTAGCCCTGACAAAATGCCTCCGAGGCGATCCAATGATAGCCTCGCCTGAGCGTGGGCTCCATCAGTTTTGACCGCTAAAGTAGCGCGAACCAGACTGTCGGGTCCGCACTAGTACCGTGTAAGGATATCCCTGACGACGAAAGAGATGAGAACTGAGCGTATTGGCTCAGCGTCCGTTTCCCCCCTCCCTCTCTGCAGCGAAGTCGCGTTCCTCTTCTCTTGTTCGCACCGGCGGCCATACGTGGCTATTGTTCTTTCCTGCTCAATCAAAAGGCATGGTTGAGGGTCTCAGAGTTGCATGCATCGCAGTCAATGTCAGCCCATTCTTCCCTTGCCTTGTGGCAACTCACCCTTTTCGAACGAGCTTCAAGCCAGGTAGGGGGGAGGCGTATGATAGCCCGCTGTGTGGGGGCAGGCATGGCATCAACCGGTTCTTCAGAAGTTCAGAGTCGAGTCTGTGATCGAGGCCCCCCCCCCCAATTTCGACTTCCATCCCCATGGTAAGACATCCATTGTACGAAGGTACGGGCGGGATACTCGAGGATTCACAAAAGAAAATGGTGTCTGTGCCGGTCAGCCAGATTATGCGGCGACCCTCTCGTGGCACGAAATGGATCTCAGATCGTGGCGGGCGGCAGCTTATGCTTATGGGCCCTCCAGATCGAACGGTTCCCGCCTCTTCCCGCTCGTTTGTCCAATCTTCTGTCGCCCTCATTATGAAGTTGCTGGTCCCGTGTCCATTAAGATTGCGGGGACTGCCCAGTTCAAAGCAGAGTGCTCCGTATGCCATCACTGCCTTCACTATGCTAGTTTAGATGAGTACGTATACCAGGGGGCATGGCCTGGCATTGTACGGAGTATGTATGCTTGCCTTGATCGACAGTGGCTTGATCGCATAATAATCGCCGTGGCCAAGGAATGGGAATAACATGGAGACTCGAGTTCATGGCGGGAGGCGAGGGTCGAGACAATGTGAAAGCTTTGTTCCACCGGCGCGTGTTTACCGATGCTGCAACAAGTTCTGCACGGGCAAGGGAAACCCCCTGAGTCTTTTCTTTTTTCTAAAGAGCCATGGCCTGACATGAGCATGTCTCTCTGCTTGCTGGGAAGAGAAGAGCAAGGTAGTCCAGAAAGAAGGCAATTTCAACGAGTACCTAGTTCTCGGATAACTGTTTAAGCAATTCCATCCTGAAGAGCCCGGGTTCTTCCAGTGACTCCAGCCCACTCCAGTGTGGTCCAATTCGGTGCCCACTCAAACAATGTCCAAGACTCCAAGTTGACGGGACGCGTCCCGGTCACACCCAGCGACGGGGAGTAAAGGTCGACAAGCGAGTCCTATGGAAAACTGAGCCCCCGCTTTGTCCGAGGATTTGCAGCCTCAAAACCCACACGCCCAAACATCAGAGGTCTATCTTAGGGATACCCCCACCACCCCTGTCTCTCCAAGATTCTCACCTGGTGGTGCTGGGGGCAGCTGGGCACTGGCCGTTCTGTTCCGCGACTCTTGGCGTAGGGAGGGCCTGAGGTGACCAGACCTTAGGGCAATGCAGATTTCGGCAACGGTACCCTTAGCTATCGTAGGGGTCCCGCCCACGAAACTGATAGCAAGTAGACAAATGTGACGGACGCGAGAGAGGAGAGTCACAGTGTAAGGTACCTTGCGAAGTGCCGCCGGGAGAGATTCTAAGTTTCTGACTTATCATTGAGTCAAGGTTTTCACAAGTGGAAAAGAACCTGATGGTAAGGACACATGTCAGCTCTTAGACTCATTGACCGTGTGATGATTGAAATCAAGGCAACAATGCGCCGGTCGGGAAGAGTCAGTTATCTTCATTCTGGACTCCAGGAAGCTGGATCTGCCTGGACTGGAGAAGATAAAGGAGCGGACCCGGCTCGAGGGCGGCACAGTTGACGCACGCAGACAGACGGGTAAGGTAGCACGGTAAGGTAAGGTAGGTAGGTACTTACTTGGGTACCTACAGCTGCGGTACGTCGCATGTGTCGAATGGAAGGCAGGCACGCCGCACAGCAGGAAGTCAAGAAGGCAGGAAGGCCGCAGGGAGTCGGGACGGAAAGAAGGACTCACCTAAGGTAGGACCTGGACGAGAATGAGGAAGAGAATGAGAATGAGGCAGGCATACGCCAGATACGTACCGCAAGATGAACGTCCCCACTTGCCTTTTCCTACCCCCGGCTTTCCCAGGTTGTCGACCCCGTTGCGGCCGTTCATAGAGCCAATCACATGGTTCATGCAATGACACCCGTGGACTCGGCCGTTGCCCTCTGTTGAGTCTCTTTGGCTTGACCCCCGAAGTCCAGAGTCCATGCTCACCTCACTCACACATCCTTTGCTTTCCCTCTCTTCCTCTCTTCTCTCTTCACCAACCCCCATCTTGAACTCGACCCGGAACCGAAACCTCGACCAGCGCCAGCTCCTGACATCGAGTGTAGCACATCCTCTTAATTCTCCTTCATTTTCTTTTTGATTATTGTACTGTGCCTTTTTGGCGACTTTGATTACCGTGACATTCCAACTACTTTAGTCTGATGGCCATTTCATTACCTGGGTCCCGGAATTATGCTCCGGATATCTTCAACTTATTATACAATTGCACTCCACATACGCCATCGTCGCTATTTGACACGTATTAGCACACCTCACGGACTGGCACTCGCATTGCCCTACCCGCCGTCGCCGGAAAATGGCTAAAACTTCTTGACTTCCTCGATTCTATACTCCGTCCGCGTCTCTCTCCAATCGGACAGAGATGCACTAAGAGCAGGGAGTTCAACCACTAATCTAGCGTCAAGATCGATTTGATTCCTCTTTTCTCGTCTATCAACTGATCCACCACGGGAGCAAACCCGTCTCAGTCCCGTCCCGGGGCAACCCCGTTGTAATGGTCCACGTCAATTTTGGCATATCCGGGTCCTTTACGTGCGTAACTGCGTGCGTAATGTGCAACTCGGATGCAGATTGATAGCCCCCAGACGTCACAATGTCAACCGTCCTGTTACAGTCACCCACACTTCAATTCAAGTCTGCATTTCTTCCACACCAAATACCATACCCTTCCAGCATTTAGACTTGATAACATTGCTTTTTGACAACACAACTCCGGTAAATCCAATTCGATCCTGCACTTTACAAGTACAGCGAGAGCCCTACCATTCACTGTAACCTCCGGCTGGTGGGGTTGTCCCAAGCAACAGGTCCTCGTACTGTGAATGGGGGAAGAAAGAGGCAAGTCATCCCACAACCCTAGCATGAGTTAGTCTGTGTTCGTGTCGTTTCTTTTGCTACAGCTTCCGTGCTACACTACTTCCCAGATGCCGCCTTGTTGCCCAAGTCTGTCATCTCGGATACTGACTACCAGGACACAATGCTATCAAGGATCATGGCTCAGGTAGACATTGCTTCCCGCCCCTATCCAGGTACATTCATCATGGCTCAAGGGAATCAGAGCAGCGGAATCGCAGGATTTGTGTTTTTTCCCTCCAAATCAGACCCCATGGCCGATGCTAACCCCTGACATGCTCTGCCTTACAGAAAATGAGAGAGATAGAGCAAGCTGTGTACCGTGCACCCGTACGATCTGGGACCCATCAGAGAAGGCCGCTCATGCGGCGCAGGTCAACGTTCATCTCCCCCCCTCCTCCGGGATTCTTCGTCCGCGAACGAGAAGCATCACATATCGAGCGTCTCCATCGCCAATGGACGTTTAATATATTCTAGACCCCATCTACCTGCTTGTCCGCGCCATTCACGTAAGTACGAATCAGCCCGATAACTTTCCTCCTTCTACTTGACGAAGTCCTAGGTAGCCGAGTGAGGAGAAGATGCTGGTAGGTCTGGACGTCGAAGCAGAGGGGCTCTCAGAAAAACAAAGACGTATCAATGTCGGATGAGCCAGGCCATAGAAAAAAGCGGTTGTCCCTTTCGCATTGTACTGCGACCGACTTCCGCCCCCCGCCACTCTCATTGGCAACTCGAAATAATCGAGAAGTGCAATGGTAGGTTAGTATCTTATGCTGAGAGGATCGGACTCAGTCCCAAGCTCAACTATGCTGAGCCTTGCTCTATCAGTCGTTCTCTTCCCCACCCGTCCCACACCTGTCACCCATTTAGGCGCTGCAAGGCGGCCGCACGGAAAGAGACAGACGAGAGCCAGAGACAGAGATGAGACAGAGCAAACTACTCTACGGAGTACCTTGGACGAGTTTCTGGGAGACTGGGAGACGTTCTGCTCCGGTGGGCTGTAACATCGCTACGGATACAGCCTACTGGGCTGGACTGCATCTGCGAGTGTGACTGTCATGTCATCGGGACTGCTGCTGCTGCTGCTGCTCTGCCACTACTCTGTCGTGTATGTAGATAGGTGTGAGGTGTGGTTCTTGCTGGCAATGGTAACCTCTCAGAATCTTTCGCTCTATCCCCTGCTCTTCCCCCCCCCCCCGTCCATGGAGTTGTGGATACACACGCCCCATGCCCTTTTTTCTCTCTTTCCCTCGCTCTATCTGGTCTTTCCAGACACACGCCCCCAGGGCCCCAGGACAAGGCCCCAGAGCTGCTCGGCCGACTGAATCGACCCGCATCTACAGAGTTGCACTACTGCGTACCCGTACATACCAGCCCCGGGCGGCTATCGTCTGCGAGGAACCATCAACATCCATGCCCCCGCATGCAAGTCTGTCTCTGCCTCTGGTTCTGTCTCTATCGTTGTCGCTGTCCCTCTCTCTCTTCTCTGTGCTGTGCTGTGCTGTGCCTGCCCTGCCTGTCCTGCCTGACCCCTCCTACTGCTTTCCTCGCCTCCTGCTCTCTTGGTCTGTGTGCCGACCCTACCTACACCTACCTTACCTTCCAGACTACAACGGCCTCATGTACCTCGTGTACACTATCCTTCCCCCTGTCCCTTCCTCGAACCCTGGCGATGGTCCCCGCTGCTTTCTATCCTGGAGAGTGGCACTCGTTCAAATCGTCTCGACTGGCAGGCTCCCCTTGCGAAAAAAAATACAAACCTTTGGATCGGCACCATCGCTGTCCACTTCGCTCGTCATTAATAGGCCGCGGCCATCTCGTCCTCGCGAGGCTCTCTTCTCATCCATCCCACTTGACAAGTCCAATTACGGAGAGGCAGACTTCAGTGACTCTTTGAATTCTTTATTACCGTCCATCTCCCCCCCTTCCCATCCTCTTATAAGACAAGACAAGCTTCACACAACCACAGACTATCAAGCTCTTGCCTACATCCAAGTCTTTGGAGTATCCCCATTGCCACTTACACACCACCCTCCACAACCTCAACACTTTCACTTTCACATTCCACATCTACCTCGACTGTCCACAACTCCTCTTGGTCGTCCACTTGATCATGACGAGCCAGAACTACGTCGAACAAACCACTATGCATTCAGACGGACTATCAGACCCCATGCCCAGCAGGCGCACCTCAGTGGCACAGCCTCCAACCACAATCTATCCAGACCTCAGAAGCCCCCCTTTTGCTGTAAGTCGATATATATATGTCCTTGAGTAGCCGTCCAGGTGTGTCTGACAGATACAAGGTCACAACTTTCAACCATCAGTCGCAACTCGGTGAATCCCACATGTTGACTCCAGTGTCTGGTGGCGGCTCGCCCTGCATGCAACAAACAACAACTCTTCCCCAGTACCCATCAGCGATGGCTCCCATGCAGCCCCAGTCGAGTCCTTCCGGATCCTCCAGGATGGCTTGGCATAACACTGTTGCCATGAGTGCTCCCCAGAGCCAAGTTGGCTCCCCGATGGCCATGAACCCTCCCACAACCGAGAGTCATTTCGAGATGAACTACATCCAAGCAGAACCTGAGCACGAACGCGAACCTCCCGAAGACTACTACTTTGGTAACTATACAGTTTCCGCGCAACCTCAATCGGACCAGGGCTCCTTGTCCCCTCAGGTGCCACCCCACGGCTATTACATGTCTCAACCCCAGCAGCAAATGATGCAGCCGCAGCCTATCATGGGCGAGCTGTCCATGGGACAAATTCCGCATCCTTCGCAAGCCCAGGCGCAGTACTATGCCCAGCCGCAGACTCACACTTGGGTAGAGGACTCTGATATCACATCCTTCAAGTCTGAAGCTACCAGGAGACGTTATATGGGATACGCCCTTCCAAGCACACAAATACAACGCCCAGAAGTCGCTCGGGGGCCTACCCGAGCCCGTCAAAATAGCCAACAAGCAGCGGGCCGTTGCCAAAGATCTCCTCGCGTCAGAGGTCGAGCGGAACAGTCCGAGGCAGAATCGTCTGAAGAGCCGACTGCCGATGACGAGATGGCGCATATTAACTCGCTCCCCGATGAATTTGTCGTCAAGCCGGAATGCCCTGAAGACGTCGCCTTTCTCTTCCATCGTCAAAGGGACATGATTATTTCAGGTGGCAAGGGTAACGGAATGTGGGATATCATTGCGGGCGAGCACAGAGAGAGGTTCGGGATGACAAGCTCTGCTGCACGTTTGCAAATGCAGGTGACGAGAGGAAGATCCAACTTTCTGGAGTGGTCACTCAGAGATGTAAGTCATCTTCATGGTGTAGGGTTAATTTTTTGTGAGCAACATAACTAACAAGGTACCAGAGACATAAGCTCAAAATGGCTTTCGATTTCGTCGATGCGCATTATTTCAAGATGGTCCACCGCAAGTTTAAGGAGCTCGGCGGTGGACAAACAACGGCGTGGGGCGCAAGCGACGTCGAGTACCTGGCAGTCGAGCGTGGCATGGTAGATTCGGGCTACACGGCCGAGCCTACTACCCAGCCAGGAAAGTCGCGGAGAACGAAGAAGCAGCAAACCCGCCTGAGGAACCTCGCCACAAGCAGCGCTGTTCTGCTTGACGACACAGTCGAATTAGGGCAGAACCCAGAGCGGCGACAACAGATACTCGATGAAATATATGAGTACCGTGGCGAGGATCCCGAAGACGGTGTCGACGAAGAACCCATGTTCAAGACGTTGGCCAGAGCTCGCCCACGAGGCCGCCAAGTAGAGATCAAGATGGAGGAGGAGAGCCCTGAGGAAGAGGCGGCATCCTCGTCCAGCAAGGCCAAGGGCAAGCAGCCTGCCAGGAAAAGAGCGCCAGCGAAGCCTAGGGCCGTCAGAGCACGCATGGTACCCAAGCCCAAGTTGGCCTGAAGAATCATCAGGGTTCAGACAAGATCTACGACGCACACATCAACACCACCAGTCATGGTGACCTTCACTTCTTCCGATGGTAGCCTCGTATGAGGTGGGCCTGAGCATGCTATTCCCGAGCCCAAGCGGCTGAGACGACGTATAGATTGTTCCTTGTCATTTTGCATTCAATTTTCTTTTGGCTTGATCTTGGATTTCTTGTTTTTGCTGAAAAAGATACCACTCATTTCGTATGGTTTCTCATACTGGGAGGGGAAGGAGGACGACCGGCGGCAAGGGCTCTTCTGGGTTCCGCATATCATTATCTCGCGTACATTTACATTTCACTGTCTATATTCATTTGTGCCATTTGCAATATTTATTCAAATACATACACTCATCAAATATTACCTTGCATTAAATCACTGTGCACACGAGGCCAACTACATCAGTCGTGATCTTCCTTCGCCATCATCGCGAATCTTTCGTCCATTCCGCCTGCCCGTCATGACACTGTGGGCATGGGGCAAGGCTCACAACTCATCTACCTCCAGGCAGGATTTCCGAGTTCTCGGGACCAAGGCAGCATTCGCACTCGCCGACGCGCCCAATGTAACGAGACTACGCTCGGAGTCGTCTCATGACCATGGAATGGCAAGACAGCTCATCTATCCGTACTTTGGCCCATTCATGCCATCGTCATCAGGATACGCCAAGAGAAATAAAGCGACTTGTTCTCCTCTTCTACTGCTACACCACTGCCAAACAGCAATTACGACAACAGTTGAGAGACGAGTTAGCACGCCTTGTTCGTCACATCAAACCCATGTTCATGCCTCATGTCGGGCTGGAGGGAGGGTCCCGGGGGGCTAGCCCTCTTCAACGGGCGCCCCGTCCGTGCTCTCTCTCTTCCCCCCTACCCCGATGCCGAGGGACGGGCGAAGACGAGGGTGATTGGGCTGTGGGAAGGGTATGAAGGACCCGGAGACCAGGAAAGGCAGACCAGATGGTATGGCATGGAGGGAGAGAAGAAAGATGTGCCCTGCGCTGCGGTTGCGGGTGTGGCTTTCCTCAACAGCGGCGCGGGTGGGTGGTGGATACCCCACCGACAAGAAAAGTACGCTATTCAAGCAACCCGCTTCGAGTCCTCATACGATGAGTACGCAGTAGAGCGACTAACATCCACAGCCAGGCCGTGTCTGCGGCCCTTCTGGCCCGGATGCGACGTGCTGCTTTTCCGCAACCTGAGAAGTCGAAACTTTTACCCTTTTCAGACGGGATAGTGGATATCGGGTCCGTTCAGGGTCAAGGGGGGTAAGGGGACGGGGGAAGGGGGGGGGGGATGGATCGTAGCAAGAAAGTGTTTAAGGATGCCCATCACTGGGGGCCCTTCAGAGAGAGTAAGAGTGAGAGAGAGGAGAGGGAAAGAGGATCACAGAGGTCAGACTCCAGAGAGAGGAGTCCCATAGCTTTTTGCAGTAACCGTAAAGAGGCATTGCAAGGTTATGGGGGGTTTAGTCGCACTGTCGCAGAGGGGGGCATATCTAGCGCAGTGCCTTTTCGACAAGGGGACACAAGGCACCGCACGCCGTACAGGGCCAGAGTAAAAAAAATCGCAGGGACAAGCATGGCGGCGGCGGCGCGCGCCAGGCAAAGGGTGACACGGGTGGGGGAAGATGGGAGACGAGAAGAAGGGAAAGAGATCCTCATTGATGTTTCCCTGGGACATCCCCGTAGGATACGGAGTAGGTACACTTTTCTGCCTGCCAGACTCTCAGTGCCTGCCTGCCTACCTGCCTGCCTGCGCGCTGCCTTGGTGATGGTCCGCTTTGGACCCTGATGTGTATCTGTACGGATAGAGAGGAGGGGGAGACAGAGAGAGATGATGATGATGGGGAGACGGGGGCGGAGCGACGTCAGGACGACGATACTCTCTCTCTCCGTCTCTGCCTGCTCCGTACACAATAGGTAGACTCAAAGAGGCGGAATGTGAAAGAGACCGCGAGTGGTGGGTACCCCAGCCGGCGGCCCCGCAGAGCGGCTTCCGCGCACTCTGTGATTGTTGACCTTTGCCGCCAAGACCTGGCATTTTCGGCTTCCCGGAGAAATAGGTTTCTTGTCCCATTGTGTTGCCCATTTTGCCCATGTCCTGCTCCCAAAATCTCGCGAGCTGCTCGCTGAAGCCTGACGCTCACTCACGTGAAGTGGGAAAGCTGTGAGAAATTCCGAATCTCCGGGGGCCTGTCCTGTCCTGGATGCCTGGGTGAATTTGCCGGGAGATCAAATGTGGCAGGTAAAGTAGGTAATGAGATTCTGTAAGTCATCGATCGTCTTTTACTACCTTACCTACCACCCTGTATCTCTATCTCCCAAGAAAGTTAAAGCAAGTAATCAAGTCATTCAGTACAGCAAAGTTTAGGTAGTGTAGTACAAAAAAGATAAAAAAAATAAATAAAAAAAAGTGTATAATAGGGCAAGAGGCTGTTCCGTGTAATTCGTTGTTGTAAAGTGTGTCCTCTCGGCAGTGGCGCGGTGGGCTGGCAGCAAACCAAGCTCTCGGCCGTTGACGGGATAGGTTCGATCCGAGGCAAGATGATGACGGGTGATGAGAGTCCCCTCCCCGATCAATGGGGGCATTGAGCATTGGGCATCGGGTAGGATAGCGTGGATAGGGCGAATGTGAATAAGAAAAAAGTGAACGTTAGACGGGCCGGAATTATGCAATCAACTCCGGACGTGACTACGTCTAGCCTAGTGGAACATCACTTCGCCTTTTTCTCTCTCTCTCTCTCTCTCTCTTTTCGCAGCCGGCTTGACGCGGGGACGGAGGTCAATCCGCTTCGGTTTAATGCTGTCTCACAATTCCTGGTGTCCATGAAAGGTTTAATCATCATCGTCGTGGTCGTCTTTGCGTCGTAGTCGAGTGCGGGCCCGAAGATTGCGCGCGCTATCTCACAATCTCAATCGCATTCATGGAGCGCATTCATGATCCATCGTCTCATCTGATCGAGCGGGGGGTTCCCCTTGACGAATGTTGCAAAGAAAAAAAAAGGGAACGGCTGACGGGTTGGAGGGAATCTTCTCTTCACCCTCCCCCCATCTCTTCCCCCTCCCTCTTTTGCTCTCATGGGATGCTCATCCTGACCTAGAATGCTGACCGGTGCGGGTGTGTGACGGGAATGCGATTGCGGACCTGTGATTGATCCTCTGCTTTCCAGAATCCGGGAAGATAGAAAGCCCTCGGCGAGAGGAGAGGGAACCACCGTGACCAGGGGCCCGGAAGGAGTGACGAAGCGACGAACCTCCCTGCTTGCTTGAAGCATCACAAAACCGCACGCTCACAAGACAGACAGACAGACAGACAGACAGACACCAGCCCGCGCCGGGGGAGGGGGCGTGCCTTGGATGCCCATCCCATGGTGCGAATCACGGGTAATGGTGCGTGCGTATTCCGCACTCCGTACCGTAGTCCGTACCCTCTTTCGTCTCCGTACGGCAACGGGTACTAGGCCTGCATGGACCACTAGTCGCAACGTTCCCTTGCTCGCGCGCCTTGGGTGTGGAGCCTTCAACCTCTCTTCCTCTTCCAGCCCCCACCCTCTCGAGTCCACGTCCGGTCTGGTCTGCAGAGACACTTCATCAACCGTCCCAGGAATTCGGTAAATTGGATGGAGACAGCGCGATAAAAACGCAAACTCTCATCTTGTCCAGACTATGTATGTTTGCGGCCTGCGCCGGGTATCTTTGAGAGGCGACTAGGGGTGGGTGGAATCAAGAGAAAGAGGGCCGCTGGTGCCTGTTCCCTTGTCCTTCAACGGGTCCCCCGCGGAGTCGAGCTCAACGCCAGAGATTTCACTTGATTTGTTCTCTCGTAATTGCCATTGTTCGGCTGCCGTCCGTGGCCTTCCGTTTCGCTGCTTCGTCTAGAGACACCGCAGCCCCAATGATCCCCATTGATCAGAGAGGGGGGACTGGGGACGAGAGCATCCCCCTCGCTTGCTTGGCTCACGGGCCACTGTCAGCCATGGGGTTTCCGACAGTGTTGATCAACTTGGGGGTGCTTGACTGGGCTGAGCTGCCATCCTCGAAGCGATGTAGCCCTCTGTTGCAACTTGCCGTGCCTAGACAGGCTAACCTTGCCCAATACACACGTCAAGGTCGTCCATTTTGTTTTTCCGATGATCTTCCAGGACAAGATCGTTTGTCACCTCACGCCATCGTCGGCGGCCGCCTCCATGGGGTCGTATCATGAGGTCGTAGGTGTGCGCAGCCCATTGTTCAACCCATGATTCTGGTCGCAGTAGCCCAGTACAGTAGTTATTGTGTGACAACGAGTAACACTTGGAGAGTGTCAACCCCGGATTCTGGTCTTCGCAGGCGCCCAAAAACCCGTATTGCGCCTGTCCCAACCGGCCTTCGTGATCCAACGGCGAAGCTGCGAAGCGCGAAGCGCGTGTGCCAGGCCGAACAGACGATCATGCCATCCATCACATCTGCCATGCACTATATCCGGAATGAGCCTGCCAGATCACCGCCAAACGGGCGAAGGAGTGGTCGGTAATTCTCATCTGCAGCGGCTAAGCCACTACTCATGCAAAACCTAGCCAGTCAAATGGCTATCCGTCTTCTCGGGACGAATCAGAAGTGTAGAATAGAACCGCCTGCCGGGTATAACCTTTCCCTTGCAGAGGAGTCGCAGCATCCGTACAAGCAGACCAGCAAGCAAGCCAATCGCGCCATCCAGCAGCGTCAGGGAGACAATCGCTCACCCTGCTGTCCGCTCTTCCACCAGTAGACGCTCTGTTTTCGTTGTACTGCCAATGGAACGATTGCAAACACGCACTTTGGTCCGGAATTTCTGCAGCTTCTGCTTCATTCTTTCTTCTTTGCAGGCCTCGTTCCAGAGTATCGGGTCCAAAGTCGGTGAAGACAAGATTGCTCTTGTTCCGGGAAGGTATCCAAATCGTTGTGCTCCTGCCTCATTTGGATGTTCGAAACAGACCCGGTGCCGAGTCGAATGGTTCGCCATCTGGCAACCGACATGGTGTCGAACATTTCCCAGAAAGAGGGAACGGGGGTGGAAAACTGCGCCCGCATTCCAGGTTTCCAGACTTCTGATGGCTGCTTTGCGACATCC